ACTGGATCCGCATGGCGATAAACGGTCTGGAAGTTGATGGCGATTTTATTGTGTGGACACAGTTCCGGTTGTTCGATAAGGTAGTCGTCGTTGAGTGGCACAGAAAATTTTGACATCATAACCGATGTTTCTTCAACCAAAGGGATTTTCAAAATTCTTTTTTTCGAAATCGAGTAAGTTTTTCTATAAATAGAAGTATTTAAGTTATTATCGATAACTTTTCTCTTTAAAATAGTTATTATCGATAACTTTTCTATTTAGGATAGCTATTATCGATAACTTTTTCCATTGGAAAACTTGTCATCGATAACATTTCTCTTTGAAAATGTCATTATCGATCAATTTTCTCTTTGAAAAAGTCATTATCGATAATTATTATTATTATCGATAACTTTTCTCTTTACATAAGTTATTATCGATAACATATATTTTTATAAAAGTTATTATCGATAACTTTTCTCTTTAGAAAAGTTGTTATCGATAACTTTTCTCTTTAGATAAGTTATTATCGATAACTTATATCTTTAGAAAATTTGTTATCGATAACTTTTCTCTTTGGAAAAGTTGTTATCGATAACTTTTCTCTTTGGAAAAGTTGTTATCGATAACTTTTCTCTTTAGAAAAGTTATTATCGATAACTTTTCTCTTTAGAAAAGTTATTATCGATAACTTTTCTCTTTAGAAAAGTTATTATCGATAACTTTTCTCTTTAGAAAAGTTATTATCGATAACTTTTCTTTTAAGAAAAGTTATTGTCGATAACTTTTCTTTTAAGACAAGTTATTATCGATAATTTTTCTCTTTAGAAAAGTTATTATCGATATGTTTTCTCTACAGAATAATTGTTATCGATAACTTTTCTCTTTACAAAAGTTATTATCGATAACTTTTCTCTTTAAAATAGCTATTATCGATAACATTTCTCGTTGGAAAAGTTTTTATCGATAACTTTTCTCTTTAGAAAAGTTATTATCGATAACTTTTCTCTTTAGAAAAGTTGTTATCGATAACTTTTCTCTTTAAAAAGTGTGTTATCGATAACTTTTCTCTGTAGATAATTTATTATCGACAAATATTCTCCTTGGAAAATTTACTATCGATAACTTTTCTCTGTAGAAAATTTATTATCGATAACTTTTCTCTTTAGAAAAATTGTTATCGATAAATTTTCTCTTTAGAAAAGTTTTTATCGATAACTTTTCTCTTTAGAAAACTTGTTATCGATAACTTTTCTCTGTAGAAAAATTGTTATCGATAACTTTTCTCTTTATTTGTTATCGATAACTGTTCTCTTTGGAAATGTTATTATCGAGAACTTTTCTCTTCAGAAAAGTTATTATCGATAACTTTTGTTTATAGAAAAGTTATTATAGATAACTTTTTTCTTTAGAAAACTTTCTATCGATCAATTTTCTCTTTAAAAAACTTGCTATCGATAACATTTATCCTTAGAAAAGTTTTTATCGATAACTTTTCTCTTTAGAAAATTTATTATCGATAACTTTTTCCTCTAGAAAAGTTGTTATCGATAACTTTTCTCTTTAAAAAACCTTATTATCGAGAACTTTTCTCTTTAGAAAATTTGTTATCGATAACTGTTCTCTTTGGAAAAGTTATTATCGAGAACTTTTCTCTTTAGAAAAGTTATTATCGAAAATTTTTCTCTTTAAAAAAGTAATTATCGATAACCTTTCTCTGTAGAAAAGTTATTATCGATAACTTTTCTCTTTAGAAAAGTTATTATCGATAACTTTTCTCTTTAGAAAATTTATTATCGATAACTTTTCTCCTTAGAAAAGTTATTATCGATAACTTTTCTCAATAGAAAAGTTATTATCGATAGCTTTTCTCTTCAGAAATGTTATTATCGGTAACTTTTCTCTTTAGAAAAGTTATTATCGATAACTTTTCTTCTTAGAAAATTCATAATCGATAACTTTTCTCATTAGAAATGTTATTATCGATGAGTCTATATTAATTATCTAATTTTTTTTTGTTTGTTTTGTAATCACTCAATTAATTAAAATTTCTATACTTGACTAGCTTTTTTTCAGAATTGTAATGTAAATATGTATTTACTTATTTATTTATGTATGTACATACATTAGCCATGACAAATATTTGTATTTGAATTTATTTTCTCAAATAAGGGGTAAAGTTTAACGACACAAATGGACATTTGGAATTTTGTTTTCAATTTGCTTTCATTTTCGTTCTCCCTAAAAAGGCATGACAAGTTGTGAACAAATTCAAATCACATATTAATTTGAGGTTAAGGTCACTTGCGTGCAAAACAAAACAAACAAATCGCAATTTTCGATAAACAATTTTTTAGGTGGAAAAAAACGATATTTTTGGAGCAACACCAAATCTCCTTCCTTACTGATTACTATTTGCTTGCCATCATCAATGCGGTTCCGTGTCAAAATCTAATAAAAACAAGTGATTGACTTGGTCATGCCATTGGGTCATTCATTCCATTGGGTTGTTGGTTTATAAATTTCGAAGGACCACTCCTTTCCCCAATGACTAGCGGGTGAATTGAATGGTAAACAAAATATAGACTGGTTTGTTTTTAATTACTTAAGTTGGTCACCACCATCATCACGACGACAATAGTGTGGGTGTGGTCCCATAAAGGATGAGGTGATTGGAAGCTATGCAAATTTAATTGAATTTTGAAGGTCGAAGAATAGGTGGGTGGTGAGGCAAGGTGTAAGATGTAAATATTCCAAAATATAAGCAAATTCATAGTGTTATCGATAACTTTATTTATATAAACATTATCGATAACTTTTCTCTTTAGAAAACTTGTTATCGATGAAATATTTCTTAAGAAAACTTGTTATCGAAAACTTTTTTTGATAGAAAACTTGTTATCGATAACTTTTCACTTTAGAAAACGTGTTATAGATAACTTTTCTCTTTAGAAAACTTGTTATCGATATCTTTTCTCTTTAAAAACGTGTTATCGATAACTTTTCTCTTTAAACAACTTGTTATCGATAAATTTTCTGTTCAGAAAGCATGTTATCGACAACTTTTCTTTATAGAAAATTTGTTATCGATCACTTTTTTCTTCAGAAAATTTGTTATCGATAACTTTTCTTTATAGAAAATTTGTCATCGATTACATTTCTCTTTAGGAAACTTGATATAGAATGTCTTTCTCTATAAAAAATTTGTTATCGATTAAATTTCTCTTTAGAAAACCTGTAATCGATAACTTTTCTATATAAAAAAATTTATCGGTTAAATTCTCTATAAAAAATTTTTTATCGGTTAAAATTTTTATAGATTGTATTTCTCTTTAAAAAGCTTGATATCGAAACCTTTTTTCTATAAAAAAAATTGTTATCGATTATATTTCTCTTTAGGAAACTTGTTATCGAAAGTCTTTCTCTATAAAAAATTTGCTATCGATTACATTTCTCTTTTGAAGCCCTGTAATCGATAACTTTTCTATATAAAAAATTGTTATCGATTAAATTTTCCTTTAAAAAACCTGTTATCAAAAACTTTTCTCTATAAAAATTTTGTTATCGATATTTTTGTTCTTTAGAAATATTGATATCGATAAATGTTTTCTTTAGAAAAGTTGTTATCGATAAATTTTCTCTTTATAAATGCTGTTATCGAAAACTTTTCTCTTTAAAAACTTGTTATCGATAACTTTTCTCTATAAAATACTTGTTATCGATAGATTTGTTCTTTAGGAATATTGTTATCGTAAACGTTTTATTTAGAAAACTTGTTATCGATAAATTTTCTTTTTATAAATTTTGTTATCGAAAACTTTCCTCTTTGGAAAACTTTCTATCGATAACTTTTTTCTCTAGAAAACTTGTTATCGATTAGTCTTCTCTTTAGAAAACATCTTATCGATAAATTTTCTTTATAGAAACTGGTTATCGATAAATTTTCGTTATAGAAACTGGTTATCGATACATTTTCATTATAGAAAACTAGTTATCGATCAATTTTCTTTATAGAAAACTAATTATCGATAAATTTTCTTCATAGATAAATTGTTATCGATAACTGTTCTCTTCAAAATCTTATTAACGACAACTTTTCCCTATAGAAAGCTTATTATCGATAACTTTTCTCTTCAAAAAAACTTGTTTTCGATATCTTATATCTTTGGAAAACTTGTTATCGGTAACTCTTTTAATTAAAGAAGTTTTTATCGATAACTTTTAATTAAAGAAGTTTTTATCGATAACTTTTAATTAAAGAAGTTTTTATCGATAACTTTTTTATTAAGAAATGTTGTTGTCGATAACTTTTTTCTATAGACAATTTTTAATCGATAATTTATCTATTACGAATACTTATTATCGATAACTTTTCTCTTCAGAAAGCTTGTTATCGATAATTTTCCTCTTTAGAAAACTTGTCTTCGATGTTCCCTTGTTCTCTTCAGAAAACTTGTTATCGATAACTTTTTTTTCATTAGATGACTTGTTATCGATAACATTTCTCTTCAAAAAAACATGTTATCGATAACTTTTCTCATTAAAAAATTTCCTATCGATGTCTAATGGGTTTAGAAAATGTATTATCGATAACTTTTCTCTGTAGAAAACTTGTTATCGATAATTGTTCTTCAGAATAATTCTTATCGATAAGTTTTAAAAATCGCAAAGAAAGTGAGTACTTTTAAATGTCGAATATATCGAAATAAATCACGTTCTTCAATTGCCCTTAGAAAATTTGTTACAAAACTTTTATGTTCAAAAAAACTACTTATCGATAATGGTTTTCTCCATTATTAACATTTCGACAACTTTTCCTCTTTAGAAAACTTCATTGACTGCTAGGGGGTGGTGGTACCATAAAACTAAGCTGTCTGTCTACTAATTACAAAAACCACAACAACAACGATTAAAAATTGTCAATGCACTTGCGAAGGTGTGACAACAACAAAAGTGAGGTAATATTCTAAAAAAATGAAGAAAAGAAAACAAAACAACAAAAATCGCAAGGTAATACTTACTTATTGGTCATATCCAAAACATCGGACATCATTAGACGATATTTTTTACGAAATTTAATGCCATGCCGGGTCTCCAGCAAATATTTGTTGCAGAAATCCGTCAGCGATATGAAATAGATGAAACCCAACGATGTGAGGAAGAGGCCGCGCTGCAGTGAGATGCGATCTGTGGTATTGGGTATTTGCAGGAAGCTACCACAGGCCAGGCTGATGGAGCCAATCGAACAGGCCAACGAGACATAGCAACGATTGCCGCGCAGTTGTTGTTTTAGGCCGGCAGCAACCATTGCTCAGGGGAGTAGTTCTTCTTCTGTCCTTAAATGGTGGCAAAAAAAGATGGTGGGGTTTTTTTTAGAGAGGATAGGCGGGAGAGAGTAGTAACTTTGGTTTGCGGTTTTTTCTTCGAAGACTTTAGCGGGGAAGTTTAGTTTTTTTTTTAATTTATTTTTTTTTCTTAATTTATAGGAAGTGGAAATTTTTATTTATTTTTTTTTTTTTTCTTAATTTTAAGGTTCCTGGAAGTTCCACTAAAACATTGTTATCTATAAAAAAATCACAATCACAAAATAAATATTGAAATTATTTTTTTTCCGATTTATTTATTTAATTATATCATCAATTTATGGCAATTAATTTTCCAATTATCACACACACACACAAACACAATCAACACTTTCACTAACGCGTTAATTATAATTTGCCGGCCAGTAGAACGGTTTGTGTTGGTCTTTTCGTAGTCAGTTGATTTTCCGAATTTCCCTCAACCGTGTTCTGAGCACAACTGCAGCAAAAACTTTAGTTAATGATAGAGAGAGCTCGAGGAAAAAAATAAAACAGCTGTGTAATATAGCCATAACAACAACAACAACAAATGCAGCAGCAACAACAACAACATGAAAACCAAAAGTCATTACAATATGGAGCTCGGTTGGCGGCAGGGTACTTTAGCACCCACCTAATAATCATAATGAAAACCCCCAATACAAACACAGATCAAAGATAACGAATGTCACACCAAAAAATAAAACAACAACAACAAAAATACCATAAAAATACAATAAAAAAATACAACGGTGCGGTGGTGCAAGAGTGTGCACACTAGTGATAAACAACAAACAAATGTAAACAAACACTTGACTGAATTGCAGTAATAAGAGAGAGGGACAGAGAGAGAGACAGAGAGAGGCCTTAATTAACAGTTATTTGCATATTACTGTACTACAATAAAAGAGGAGGAGAAGGAGGATTCTAATAAGAAATGTAATATTGATAAAAGTTAACGATATTTTTTATAGCAAATGGTATCGATAGTAAGTTTTTATATAGAATAGAATCGATAACAAATTGTTTTTTTTGTAGAAAATTTATCGATAATACATTTTTTCATATAAAAAAATTATCTTATAAAGCAAGCTAATCGATAATTAATTTTCTTTTAAGAAAAAATTATCGATAACAATAATTTCGTTAAGAAAAGTAATCGATAACAACAATTTCATTAAGAAAAGTGGTCGATGACATATTTTTTGTAGAGAAAATGTACCGATAACAATAATTTCATTAAGTAAAGTAAATCGATAACAATTTTTCTAAAAAGAAAAAATATCGATAACAATTTTCTTATAAAGAATATATTTTATTGGAAAAAAATCTATCGATAACAAATTGTTGTGGGTGTAATGTATCGATAACAACAATTTCATTAAGAAAAGTAATCGATAACAATTTTTCCAAAAATAAAATTTATCGATAACAATTTTCTTATAAAGAAAACTTATCGATAACAATTTTCTTATAAAGAAAACATATAACATATAAAGAAAATTTATCGATAATTATTTTCTTATAAAAAAATATCGATAACATTTTATCAGAAAAAATCTTTATTGGAAAAAAGATATCGATAACAAAAAATTTCATTAAGAAAAATAATTGATAAACATTTTTCCATGAAGAAAAATCATGGATAACAACGTTTCAATAAAGACAAATTATCGATAACAAATTCTTAAGGTCGATAACATGAATTTTATACAGAAAATTGTCAATAATAAGTTGTTTATAGAAAAAATGTATTGCTCACAACTTTTTTTATGGGAAAATATTTCGATAACACAAATTTTCTTCAGAAAAATTATCGATAACACAAATTGTCTTCAGAAAAATGATCGATAACACAAATTTTCTTCAGAAAAATTATCGATAACACAAATTTTCTTCAGAAAAATTATCGATAACACAAATTTTCTTCAGAAAAATTATCGATAACACAAATTTTTTTTCATAAAAATTATCGATAACAATAACTTTCCTAAGAAATATGATCGATAACAATAATTTTCTTAAGAAATAATATCGATAGCACAAATTTTCTTCAGACAAATTATCGATAACAATTATTTTATGAAGAAAATGTATTCGATAACAATAATTTTCTTAAGAAAAATTATCGATAACAAATTTTTCGGATAATTTTATCGATAAAAAATGTTCTTAAGGAGACAATATATCGATCACAACTTTTTTTATGAAGAAAACGTATCGATACAACTAATTTTCTTAAGAAAAGTATTCGATAACAAGTTTTTCATAAAGAAAAAAAATCGATAACAACTTTTTTTATGTAGAAATTTTATCGCTAATATATTTTTTTAAAGAAAAATTATCGATAACATTTTTTCTACAGAAAAAAATTCTTCGATAACAACATTTCCATTAAGTAAAATTATCGATAGCACATTTTTAACGCAAACGATATATCGATAACAACAATTATATGAGGAAAAGTAATCAATAACAAATATTCCATAACAAAAAAAATATCGATAATATTTTTGTTAAGAGAAAAAATTATCGATAACAACTTTTTTAAAGACAAAATTTATTGACATAAACTTTTTCATAGATTTAATGGAGAAAATTATCGATAAAAATTTAAAATTGATGGAAAAAAAATTATCGATAACATATGTTTTGAAAGAGAAATTTTACTGATAACAACTTTTTTTATGTAGAACATTTATCGACAATAATTTTTAATGAGAAAATTTATGGATAAAAATAATTTTCTTAAGAAAAAATATCGATAATAAATTTTTATAAGAAAAATTTCGATAACAATAATTGTCTTAAGAATAATAATCGATAACAATTTTTTTTTATCGATAAAAAACTTTTTCTTATGGAAAAAAAATTTACGAATAACCAGTTTCTTATGGAGAAAAATTATCGATAACAAAAGCTTTCTTAAGAAAAATAGTCGATAAGAATTTTTTGTGGAGAAAATGTACCAGTTTTCCATCATGAAAACTTATCGATAACAACCTTTTTATGGAGAATGTAATGTATCGATAACAATAATTTTCTTAAAAAAAATAAACGATAGCAACTTTGTTATGGAGAACATTTATCGATAACCAGTTTTCAATTAAGTACAATTGTCAATAACTATTTTTTTATAGAAAAAATTTACCGATAAGAACTTTTTTATGAAGAAAATTTATCGATCACATCTTTTTTTTTATGGAAAAAAATGTATCGATAACAATAATTTTTATAAGAAAAATTATCGATAACTACTTTTTTGTGGAGAAAATTTATCGATAACAACTTTTTTGTGGAGAAAATTTATCGATAACCACTTTTCCATTAAGAATATTTATCGATAACAACTTTTTTGTGGAGAAAATTTATCGATAACTAAATTTTTATGGAGAAAATTAATCGATAACAAATTTTTTGTGAAGAAAATTTATCAATCACAACTTGTTCATCAAAAAAATTAATCGATACCAATTTTCCATGGAGATTTGATATCGATAACACCATTTCTATGATGAAAATATTACGATAACCTCAAAAAATATTATCGATAAAAATAAATAATGAAGTGCTGAAATTAAATTCAAATACCACGTGTTGTCAATGTTGCGTTTTTTCCTCTCTCTATATAATCGAAGAGAGCAAGGCCGTTGTTACATAGAATAAGTGTGCCGTTTTTACTCTGTGGAAGCAGTTAGAGCATGCCAATTGGAATTTTATGAGAAAATGTTGTCAATGTAGCGTTTTTCACTACAAATAATTATTTTTTAAAACAGAAAATAATAATTTCAAATGATATAATATGATTTTCTTGTGAAATCTGTGACATATAATTTAAAAAAAAATACCAAAAAATCACCAATAATTTTTTTATGACATTGTAAAGAAATATTTTGTTAATTGGCATTTTTGGGTAATTGGAATTTTTTGTTAATTGGAATTTAATTAGAAAATGTTGCCAATGTAGCGTTTTTCACTACAAATGATTATGTTTTAAAGCAGAAAATAACAATTTCTAATGAAATAAAACGATTTTCTTGTGAAATTTACGTCATAAAATTTAATAAAAAAAAAATCACCAATCAAATTTTATGACGTTGTAAAGCAGGAAATATTTGTTTTTGTACTGTGTTTACAATCTTATCAATATATGACTGACTATTTTTTTTTACTTTGCTTTTATTTCCCGCTTTCTGATGCCCAGATAGATGTCTCCATAAAATGCCGCGCGCAATCAATCAACGTAGAGTGACAAAGGTGAGCCATATTTTTTTCGCTCTACACATCCGCGTAGACATAATTTCAAAGGGGTTATGATTTTTTGACACACATATTGAACAAACATTTTTTTGGAAACTATTAATGGGAAGGCGCATGTGGCTAGAAAATGTTGTTGTTGTTGTAAATAAGTGTTAGAAAAAAATTTTATTTAACATGCCTTTGTTGTAGATAATAGTTTGTTGTAGCAGACATATTATTTGCTGTCGTCAACTGATAAGAAAGTTGGAAATCAATAGGGTTTTGAGTATATTTTTTGACATATGACTGTTAATGGCAGCTTGACGAGGAAGTGAGAAATAATGGCGAAAGAGGGTAGAGGGGGAATTTTCAGCTGGCAAACTTTGGAATGAAAGTTCCGCAACGATTTTATGGAAATCTTTTGGAGTACTCAGGTACTCAAATTGGGAGAACAAAAATATTATGAAAAAAAATTAACATTAGAAAAACAAATAAGGAATATTAAATATCGAAAAAATTCGTCTATATAATTTGAAGAGGGGCTTTAAAAAGTTCTGCCATTGGTCCCTCTCTAATCCGTTTTTTTTTCTTTGTTAGTTTTTTTTTTAACTTATATTTTAAATCCGCCTTCTTAGGCCTCAAATAGGTCAATGGGTTGTATTCTGATAACAAAAAAGTATAATAATGCAAATTTTTGTAGAAGAATTAGAAAAAAAAAATTGATAAGAATTGTTTT